TTTGGACTTGAGTCCAGGGTTGCTTTTACTTGGAGGGTGAAAACCACCCCTTCTCAGGGGTAAAAAACATAAATCCGGAAATGGATGAACTTACTAATTGTATCAATATAGACAATACATTTTGAGTTATTTTGTTTAGCACATATTGTGCTATTAAGGCAAGACATACTTTCACCCTTCCTTACAAACTAATAAGGGTTGTTTTCCAAGTTGAAATAAAATAAATTCATAATATTTTGACTAAAAAATATTGTATTTATAGCTTAAATAAAAAAATACTACAACTATTCGAACTTTTTCGCAAGAAGTATTTTTTATAAGGGTAGAAATTATATGGTAAAAAATTAAAACAGTAAAGAATCTAAATTTGATGTCATTGTATAATTAGGTAATTCCAAAAGACTAAAATATAAATAAAAAGCAACCAACGGCACAAGTTCAATTTTAAAATGGAGGGTAAGTATAACCTTAATCCTAATTTTCATGCAAATCAGTAGAGGCAAGGTATCATTGACTTTGTTTTAATTATAAGTAATCTAAGGGTCGAAATTTACGAGTTAAACTGTACTTATTTCCTTTATTAAAAGTAAAGTAAAGTAAAGCTTTACTTCATTAAAAGATGATTGAAGTCAATTAACGGCTTTATTTACAATTATAAGGAATATTTCACGGGAAAATAAAGAAGACAAAAAGAAAACAATAAAGACAACGATAATTGGCATTTTGTCACCAAAAACTCTTTGTGATTCTCATTGGATGAAAAATTTTCCATCTTTCCTATAGCCTTTCTATTGCAGTCTTAGTATTGTGAGTTATATTATATATATATATATTCTTAAACTGTCTTTTTGTGATATATAGTTACATCAGATTTATTAAGAGTTATAAACATGAGCTTAAGTGTCCTTTATACATTACGACTTAGTTAAAAAAAAATCATTTGTCCGATAGAAAAAATTTATACATGCTAGATGCATAATGTGTTTTTTCCATGACATTTTATATGCACTTGTTTTATTTGCTTTTCCTTTTGCCTTAAAAAGAGCTCCACTAGTCAACAGAGTAACATGCACCTCATCCTTATAACTTTGAACTACTTTGACACTCTCGTTCTTTATTTTATTATTTATCTCACTCTTTTATAAAAGTCAAGTATCTCACACTTTAGCAATTTATTTTAATTATTATAGCTCTAAATTTAGAGCACATTATTCTACACAAATTTTTTGCCTCTACTAAAGAGTTGCAGTTTATTTTAAGTTTATACTAAAATTGTAAAAAACTTTTATATAAAAAATAGCTATTCAGTATATTTCAGAATACCTACAAGATGATAATATAACAAATGTTAGAATTAAAGGGAAAGTTCAAAATAAGTGGATAGGCCGTTGTAGTTTTTCTTGTAGAATAATTAAGTAGGGTCATTCCAAAGTGAGTCTTATCCATATTTATAAAAATTAAGTTGGCACTGAATATCGCTGTAACATTGATTTTGACATACTATTATAACAAAATACAATTTCAAATCGCTTCTTGTTCTATGTAAAACAAGTCTAAATATTGCGCATCTTTCCAAAATGCGTGTTATCCACGAGCAGTGTCATCTCAAAGCAAGCTTTATCCTTTCAGCCAATGGCTGCCTCCGATTAGGTTAGGTTATTAACTATATATTAACATGTGGCCATTCCGGTAAAACTTTTCATGTAAATCACTTAAAATGACTGATCTACAACCATATCATGCCGCTTTTTATTCTTTAAAAAACAAACAAATTCAAGATGCATTTCTCCTAAAATATATTGACATTAAGAAACCAAAAGGTGACAGAGCCACGAAACTGAATTCTTCAAGAAAAACAATTGCTGTAAATTACTTTGAGGGCCTGCGTAGCGCAAGCGGTAGTGTGCTTGCCTCGCACGCCGGTGGTCGTGAGTTCGAATCCTACCGCCGGCAAGAACAACTAGGCATTTTTAAAAAATGTCTATAGGCCCCAGGTCGACTCAGCCTGAATAAAATGAGTACCTTGGGTAAAAACCAGGGGTAATAATAGACGGTTGAAGCGTAGCACTGGCCATGTTACCTTCCTTGTATACCGTAGGCCCTAGATATAGCAGACTACCCTGCTATACTCCAAAGCCGCGTGCGGTATAAAACGGGAGACTATTATTATTACTTTGTCAAAGTTCAAAGTACTGAGAAGTTAAGTTTAAGATCTAAGTATGTCAAAAAGCATTTTTAATATATTACATGTAACGAAAAGCAGAATTCAAAGAGTAGTAAATCGTTACGTTAAATGCGGTCAAAGGCCTATCGAAAGAAAGGGTGGTGCTAGGAGAGGACAAGATACTGAAAAAAGAAGATTCGTGAAACAGTTTATAGAAAATTTTAAGATGTATTGAAAGTCTGAAAATTTAAAAGTTAAACGAAGTTTTTTCAGAAAAAATTTCTGTGAGGTTTATAATATTGGCTTTGGCACTCCAGTTATTGATGCCTGCTCTCGATGCATTGAGTTGCTAACAGAAAAAATAAAAAACGAAAAGGATAAAACTATACGAAATAAACCTATGATCGAAAAAAGATTACATAAGCTTTGTAACGCAAATTTTTTTCATTTTTTGCGTAAAGAACGTGATGAAATGTTGACATTTCATAATTGCTGTTGATAACAATGTAAATTACCACAAATGTTATTAAGCAAATGCTTAAACGTCAGTTTTTTTTCTGGTATGGAACTTACATAATATTAGAAGAGTTCTAACGAAATTGTGTCTGCAGTATTTCATACTTTTTCTTTCACTGATATAAAAAAACATTTCAAAATTACGACTGTGTGCCGATGGTTGTGGGGAACAAAATCGGTATTCTGTTATGACTGGAATGTTATTGTACTTTTTAGGAAAAGTGTCTCCTCCCTTTATAAAAACAATTGAAATGGTTTTTCCCATAAGGGGACACCCTTTTCTTCCCTGCGATAGAGTATTTGGCAGGATCGAGAGGAAATTTAAAAGAAATTGCCTGTTGTAACCAATCAAGACACCTACATACAAATATTTACAAAGAAAGCGCAACAGTCCATAAATTGGAAAATTGCCATGTTAAGAGACTGGAGACGATCTGCAAAGGAATGTCTTAAAGGTGTGCAATCTTGGAATTTTAAAATATCCCACTGTAAGCGAATCGTTGTAGAAAAAAAAATAAAGGAGATGTTACAGTAAGAGGAGAAGAATGTTACAGTAATGACCTTTGTCAATCATTGTCTCTCTCGAAACGTGGAAAAAATATTTCAAAAATGGTACTGTATGATTTGCCAGAGGGAGTTCAAGTTAAAAATGCCAAAATTAAAGATATTGATATTTTACTAAAAAGTCACTTTGGTTCGGAATGGAAAAACAATCCTGAGTGTTCGTTTTTTAAAAACTTTATGGAAGAAGTTAATGTTGCTCCAAATAACATCACTGAGCCTAACACCGCGGAAGAAATAGAGACAGATTACTGCGAAAGTTATTTTACAGAACCTACTGAATTAAGAGTTTAATAACTAAAAAATGTGTTTAGTGTTTTTGTTTTTTAGCTTATGTGACTAACAGATAGATAGATATTATAGATTTTATCATAGATTTTAGCCAATATTGTTTTAGGTATAAGATTATTGTTTCGAATAAAAATATTTGTTCACACTACTTCCTTTGTCTACATTATTGTTATTTCAAAAAGCGTCTTATCCAATGCGTTGTTCCAAAGTGCGTCTTATCCAAATTATATTAATTTTTTTGAGCTTATGACACAAAAACGATTTAAAAAACCTTAACGTATACTAATGTTATACATTATTAATAAACACTAAAAAGTTTTATACAAAAAGAACCATATGATAATAAAAAAAATTGGTTTTTTCTAATTCTTCAACATTTTTCTCGAAGGATAAGATTCACTTTGGAATGACTACTCAACTATCATTGAAGATAATATAAACAAGATAAAATAGCATGTATGCAAGTCTATATAAAAGAAAGAATTTTGTTAAGGTTAAAAATTAAGAAAATCAACAGTAATTTTGGCAGAAGGAAAAAACACTAATGCAATGGCAGTGAAGAATAAACATTTTAAATTTTAAAAGTTATACAAATACAATTTTGGATATAAAAACAATTCACTGATACAATTGATAAATAATTAACCTTGAAAGACTCCATTTTATTTTTAATATTGCTATTTTATTAAGTATTCCCAAAAACATACTTATTTCAGATATCTATGCATCAGCTCCCAAATATTTCGACAGCTTTTGTAATGTGTTATACATAATTTAGGCAATAGTGCCAGTTCTGTTACAAGACAAACAGCCTTTCACTTGAATTCTAAAATCATTGCTATTTATATCGTGTAAATCAACAACCAAATGTTTTACCCTTAGCATTTAAGAGGTCTCCAAATAAAGCAGTGTGTTTGCCATTTAAACTTTATAAATATATAATAACCCACTCTTAGATAATAAATGAAAGTGCTGATGAGTCGATTACGAAGGAATATCGTTTATGTTAAGAAATATCTACATTCAGGTTTAAAATAAGATAAACAACTCCTTTACATAACATAATGAACATATCACATATGCATTTTGAATAGTTGGAACCCAATTTCATGTTTATTAATTTTTTTTGTCACAAGCATTACTTAATTTCCAATTATTTGCAAAATAAACAATAAATCCAAATAAAAAAACATGAAATATGGTAACATTTTGATGTTAACCAAGATATGAAAATGTATAGTGAATAGAAAACTGATAGAAAGTTTTGAAAAACTTGTACTTTGCACTTCTATAAAAATATTTACTTATTTTGCAATTTTTTCGTTGGGCTAAAATAATATATAATTTATATTTCCGAAAAACAACCAAAATTTGTATTAAAAAAATATCAGTATCAAACAGTATCCATCCACATAATACAGATTATTATAATGTAGGGATCACCCTGTATATATTATGCCGCACTTACCGCTTGAGGCTACCAACGCAACCAAGAAAAACGTTGCGAAGTACGCCATGACACTTAAACAACTGAAAGTACCGGACGCACAGGACCACTATTTACAGCCGATCCACACCACTGATTACTTGCTTTTATAGTCGGCCTACTTGGAACCCCTCTAGACGTACGTCACTTCACCAGCAAGCTTCGCCGATAGAGGATGGTCAGTTTGAAATATTAGCAATTTGGAGGTTTTTCTTTATAAAAGGCTTGGTAATGCTAAAATTCTCAGTGATCCATTGAAAGTAATTTAAAAAATATGAATACCACGCAAAGTTATAGATTGAAATACAAAGTAGTTTGCAGAAAATGGCATACGAGAAAAACATTTCTTAAAAATTTCAAGGTCAAAGTTTAAATGGATTAATAGGTTTCATTAAATGTTAACCTGTTCTATTGAATTTTTCTTTTTAGCTTGATTATATTACACAGTGTTATTTTTGGGACAGAATTTTATAGCAAAGTTTAAATTTTCAGCTTAAATTCGTCAAATTATGTTCATCTGCAGGTGGCTTTTGCATTTCTGAAAGCTAGCAAACCTGTACGATAAATTGATATCGTCTTATAGGATTTTTAGCAACGAATGTGTATTTATGCCTGTCTCTACCTATATTTTTTAACCAGGAGAATTTTGTTTGTCCTGGACCTCAATATTTCCATAATTTTTAAGACGTAGGAGATTATATTCTATCCTCGGTAAATGTGTTATGAATAACTTATTTTATATTTCTAAATAATGCTTAGATGTTCTATATGGGACTCCATCAGTTGTTGTAAGACATTTCTTAGTGACGTGACTTTCATTTCGTCTGTGTTCTGTCCATGACATCTTTAGCATTCTTGGGAATTCCTACATTTTAAAGGCATCAAGTAATCTTATATATTTATTCCTAGATTTCATGTTTTAATTCCATAAAATAATATGATATACGTTTTGACGAACTAATTTTTTTTTTTTGACAAACCAATGTTAAGCACAATGACAAAGTTAAGTTCGTGCGAAGTTTTTTCGTTCGTTAAAAACCTAATTTATTATTTTCTATCTGCGCTCGTATTTTTATATTATGGTCAAGATGGGTTATTAAAAAGTAAGGACTTGTGTCGGATTCACCAAAAGTTTTTGAATCACGGCTGGTTTACATCAAGGCTCTCTTTAATCTTGTTATAGATGTATTGAAAAAGAAGGTAAAGAAGGGGGCCTAAACGAAAAGGACTTAAGGTTATCAGATATAAAAACAGAGAATACGTGGTTAGGAGGAGAACGAATGGTTGGAGACATCAAATTACTTGAAGAAAAACTGGGACTAGTAGCGAGAATTTAAAAACCTTGACTCTTATATAACGCAAAATGAGACTTTGCATCAAGAAATTGCCCATAAATGGGTACAGCATGGGTAGTTAAACTGGAAGCGACGGATGGGGGGTACTCTGTGATGGAAAAAATCGAAGAAGAGTTAAAAGAAAAGATCTGTAAAAGTGTAGTGAGGCAGTGTTGGGAGGTAGAAGAAAACTGAGAAGAAGATGTAAAGATTGCGTGGCGGAAGACTTAAGAAAGAGAAATTTAGAAAAGAAAAAAAGAAAAGAAAAACTTAAATAAGGTAAAGAAAACAAGATGGACAGAAATGATTGGCGAAGAAGACTAAGGATTAGTGATCTCTAAAAAGAAACAATCCAAGGAAGAAGTTAAATAATGGATTATTACTCAGCAGTCAAAACCTTATTATTATGTTTAAACCCGAGAAAGAATAATAACGATGGAATAATGGGTCTTATTCCTTGTTGCATTCCAATAAGAAACATTTTTAAATTAAAATTGTATTATGATAACAAATTAAACAAGCTTAAAAATGTCAGTGTCAAATGTGTAGAATTTAAGTACTCGTATTGAGATCATGATTGAGATGGATAAAATTAACGAGTTTTCTACTTGTTTATTATTAGAAATTGAAGGATTAGTTGTTGCAACAAACAAACTTAATTCGGAAAAACTCAAATTCTGTTTACCGTAAAAGTACGCCAGCCTTAACAAATATCCTTAAAACGACACTTACTTATTTTTTGCTTCAATGTTCTTCTTCTTCTTCTTCTTCTTCTTCGTCTAGTTTCATGACCGTTATCGATCGTTGGATATCATGTAGGCTACCATATTCGCTATCGTGACTTTATTGATAGCATCTCTAAATATCGATGTAGTCGATTTTCAGCAACATTGTTTTAGATTATTCAGCAATGGAGTTCTTGTTTTACCAGGACCACGTTTACCTTGGATCTTTCCGTCAATAACCAGATGTAAAAATTCATATTTTTACAAATTCATCTCATAATGTAACCGAAGTATTGCAGCTTGCGTTTTCTTTATTAAATTGACCAGTTGTGTTATTTGGTTTCATATTCTGCAGCTCTATTTTACTGAGTTAAGTACAAAACACGAATAATTTTAATTACCATGGTAATATATCTTGACGCTGATCTAGAAAAATATAACAAAGAGCGCGTTAATTTACTACCAAAGTCAAAAACAAAAAAAAGTCTTAAATACTTAGAAACATTTTTTGGTAAATCTTGTGATGAAATTTATATATTACGTAAGGTAAATATATGTTATGATGATTTATTTATCGAGATGCGGTAACGATAACATCGAGAAAAGATGGGAAAAACTCAAAAATAACATAACTACCTCAGCAACAGAATGACTTGGAGAAAAAAAAGTAACGAGCCCACACATATCAAAAAAGAAAACACCAAAATTTAAAGAGGAAGTTAGGACAAAATGTGAAGAAAAAAGAATGTTAACAATACAAAACACAACAAAAGCAACAAGCATACAACAACCACAGGCAATTATCAGAGGGCAAAGCAAAGAGATGAATGCACCAATAAAAACGAAACACATTTCAAAGGAAACATGGACAGACTACTTTCAATTCCTATTTGCTATTGGTGACAATAATAAACCAACAACACCAGAAGTAACGACAAACAAAGAAAACATATTGAGGAAAAAGGGGTAAAGAAAGCATTAAGGAATAACTAATAAATAGAAAACCACCAGGAGCGGACATAGTACCGAATGCTCTCCTAAAGTACGAAGGACCAAATCTGGCCAAATAACAATTAAAACTATTTAAAAAAAATAATGGAACAAAACTAAATATCACAAGAATGGAGATCAAACAAATAAGATGTTAAGTCAATACACCAAGCTGGTAAAGTCCATAATGTCATTCAGGAAATGGAAAGAAGAAAAATATTAGGACTAAGTGAAACCAGATGGCCCAATTCAGGTGACATATTAGTAGGCCAAATAAAGATATATTACTCTAGTAATAACAACGACGCAAATCACTGGAACGGAGTAGCGATATTAGTTGACAAAACTACCCAGAAATTTGTAACTGGCTTCTTACCCATCTCGGATAGAGTTATGATGGTAACACTAAAAACAGCTCAATCTAGAGTCAATATAATTCAAGTATAGGCTCCCACTGCAGAAAAGTCGATTGAAGAGCTCGAACAGTTTTATAATGAATTACAATTAGCTTTAGAAGTAACCAAGTCTAGAGACGTTACAATAGTCATGGGATATCTGAATGCAAAAATCGGTAGAGGAAGTCAAGGTGATTTTATTGGAAACTTTGGACTGGGCACCGGTAAGGAGAGACGAGACAGATTGGCTCAATTCTGCCAAGATACCGATTTTATTTTCGCGAATAATTATTATGATCTGCCACCCAGGAGACTCTATACATGGAAATCTTTAGCAGACAACTAACACAACGACATCAGAAACCAAATTGACTACCTACTCATCTCCAAAACGATACCGAAATTTCCGTAAAATCAGTAAAATCATACGTAGTACTACTTTCTAAGAGTTAAGAAGATTTATAACGTATACTGCACCAATTAAATAGCCCCAAAAAAGACAAAATGCATGGTTATAACAGCATACTTCCTAAGATGTAAATTGTAGCTGGAAGGTCAAATAATAGAACAAGTGATGGAGTTTAAATATCTAGATATCACACTACCTAGCTACGAATAATTCAAAACAAAAGCGGAAGATCAAGTGACTAGAGCAAGTAGATACGCAGGTTGCCTAAATCAAGCAATTGGAAAAATAAACATATTAGAAAAGAAATAAAAAGCAGAATTTACAAAACAGTCATCAGACCAATATTAACATACGCGGCCGAAATACGACCTGACACAGAGTGTACAAAAATAATATTAGTAATAGCATCAAACGTGATGGAAAGTCAGTATTGAACAGAGCTGGAAGTACATATACGCAACGCAGACGCAAGGTAGAGACCATAAAGGAATAGTTGAAAAATATTAGAAGAATTGAATGATTATTTAAGGCGAATGCCAACGAATAGAGTAGTAATGAAGGCGATAGACGGTTCCCTAATAGCAAACTATCAGTAGGAAGAAAAATATGCAATTTATTGGAGGCTCATTAAAAATAGCCAGGTTTAAGGTTATAATAATCAAAAAAGGACAAATGAACAGAATTTGGAGAAAAGATGGAAACCAACAGTAAATAGAATCAAAATCTGTTCTTAGGAGTTTTAAAATCAATGAGAAAAGAAAAAATGTAAGACATAAAAAACATTAACAATAAAACTGGCAAACTTCTCAAAGAAGAAAATGAAATAATAATGAGATAAAATAATGAAGAGATGCTACAAACACACAATCAACACACATCTAGAAAAAAACAATCTGTTGAACCAAAGAATAAAATATGATAATGTAGATCCAATAACCATAAATAAACTACAAGAAGCGATTGCAGAAATGAATAACGGGAAAGCACCAGGGTATGACACAATTACAAGGAATATGATAAAAAATGAAACAAAATACAACAGTGTTACTACTTAAGATCTTCTTCTTCTTCTTAGCCTTCACTCGCCCATTTTTGGACATAGGCTTCTCCCAACTCCTTCCATCGAACTCTAGCTAACTAGCTAGCTAGCTAACTCCTGAGCAACATACTTCCAATTTCTTACGGCTTTTGATTTCGTCCACTTGTCTTATCTGTGGTTTTCCTCATGG